TTACCATTAGAGGACTTGTACGGACGTTACAGCTGCTGGAACATGTTGTACTACTACACATAGCTAATGCTATTCATATTAACAGTGTAATTTGGACATGATACATGTATCTACTTCATCAATTGTATCCAAGATAGGCTTACTACGTCATTCTATTTTTCATTCTATTAGTGTTTTAATAAGTTGACCCATTTGTAAAAAAAATTAGCTGGGGGGTACAAAATTTTTAAATTTGAAAGCTCTTCAAAAACTGCTAAACCTCTTCTAAAACATAACAGGCTACGCCATGGGAGGCAATCACTGCCCCATCTCCACCAAGATCTATCCAGGAATCCCTCTCAGGAAACTCAGGAAAGAGTGAGATCTGTAGAAAGTCTCTCTTTTACTTGCCAGTGTTGCAGTAACAGTGCAATCTCCATAGAAAAATAGTTCTTTGAACATCTTGGTCAGCATTTGAAAAAACAGGAGACTGTCGTGTATGTTTTTAAGTACTGCAATTTCAGCACTAATATTTAAATGTTTGTTAAATACTGTACTACATACAGACCGTGACTTATGAGCCACAGCTCTTGATGTAGCAAGGAAACTGGCTGCACAAAGATAAGACGGAATGTATCTCGTGTGACCCCCTGGATCAGATCACACTTCCCCGCTCTCTATGCAAGTCATTTGTTGTTAAGAAGACCAAATTGGGCTGTTTTTAGCCAGTCTGAGGTTACACGTGTCCAATTTGTGTCCGTTTGTGAGTGAGTCGGCATGAGCTATGAGAGAGAGAATAAAAATACATTCAAGTCATTGTGAAACTGTGGCGGACAGCTGAGTAGGCGTTCCTTCATATGTGGCCGGAGACACATTTGCATTCACACAGTTTAAAGTCCTAGATGACCACTGAATGAGGTCTGAGTGATCGAATCTCAAGATGCATTTACGATGCGTACGTGCAGACACGTACTTGTGTGTTTGCTGTCTTGTCGAAGATAAGAATTCTAAGTGGAAGGGGACAATACACCAGTGAGCACAGCTTCTGGGAACTCAACGTTGTGCTCACTCTGCAACGTATTTGTCATCCATCAGCAGATGTCATTCCTTGTCATTATAGAAACGTGAGATGTTTAACAAACATGATATATAGAAACTAGAGAACCTACAGCCTGGGGCCTGGATACTACCTATCAGGTTCTATGTTAATCAGTCACTCTTTACTACACTAATACACTGATCTAAGACAAAACGGTACTCTCTAAACGTATCATGGATGCTGCTACATTTTTTTCTGTTAACTATATATTTCAGGCCAGCCTGCCTCACCAATGAGCAGACCAAGTGCAGCAGGAACCAGTTATTTTAAAAGGCTGCCTGAAAACCTGAAAAGGCTGTGTGGAACAATCGGCTGATTGTAAAAGTAATTACAAGACATATCCATCCATATCCTCCCACCACTAGTGAAAACAACGCAGTGCACAAACTGTGCAGTTGGTGTTCAGATTCAGTTGGATGCAGCCCAATCAGATACAGTTAGATATTCACATACAGTTGGTTTATTCATCTGCATTCTTCTCTGGCTTTTCCTAACAAAATACACTGTGTTACAACCTGAGCAAGAAGGCCTAACTTTTTATAAAACTGTCTTTATCATCACAACAGCAAATACAGATTCTCTGTCATATCAAAATGACACGGAGCTATGTAGCTAAGAAAAGAATTTGAGGAAGTAATAGAGAAAGGGGCTGTTCATCTGACCTTCCTGTGCACTACTTTCAACTGCACTACATTCAAAAATAAATGTGTGTATGGTGAACTTTGAAGAAACTGTTTTAAATATCGTTTAGAACATTATAAATAAATTCACAAGAAAGTGGAAAACTGATTGTGTCTGCATAACAACAAAAACAGATACAGGGATCATGCTGATGATTTTTTTGAAGTTGTATGCAGCAGGGAACAGCATTGGGCTCAACGAGGGCCAGTCTTTTATAGCATTGTTCAATGGAAGGCTGGAGTTTTGTATTTGTGATAGAAACACAGACCTGTTTTGCTAACTTGTGTATATTAGAGAATAAAACAGATACAACAAACAGTTGCTTTTTTCCCCAAACTCATGTTAATAGTATTAGATGTTATAAGGTCATGTTTGCTCAGATTAACATGAGCCTGTTGCATCTACAGTAGAAAACTTAGGCTTTTGGACAACTGCTGGTCTACAGGTTCTTCACTTTCTCAGTGTGTACGGTACAGTGAAATCTGCACAGCTGGAGATATCAGGAACGCATATTTAACCATCAGCCTTTAGCTTTAAAAAAAATCTGCCATTAGCTGTAACTTTTCATTCTTGAAAAGTAAGACAAACAGGGTAAAGTACAGAAATACCTTGAGCATAGCCCATGCACTTGCATTTTCTCAGTTTTATATGGTTGTTGCCCAATGGAAAAAATGGGATAAATGATGCTGGTGTTCAAATACAATGCAGAGCAAGTGAGCTGTGTCTATCTTAATACTGTGGTACTTTGTCTTTGTGTTCTGTGAACACCTGTGTGCTGACCTGCGGAAAAGGAGCCTCATGTTGTTTGCATTCGCACTGGATTCCGGGAAGTCTTCTTGTTTCTCTGCTGACACCAGAGGACCTCTGGCTCTCAGGGATCTTGTCCTGTTTAAGGGTCAATAAGATATGTTTCAGTAGATGTGAGCTATAATCATTAACAACATTAGTGAACCTTGGAAGATAGAATATTAAGAGAACAACAACTAGAGTACTTTTATGAATAACTAGTTTAATGTTAGTATTGGAAGTTGAGTCACAGCACTGGAATTTCTAATGCTGGGGCTAATATTATTGGGTAAGGTATTGTACAGTAAATGTTAATGCATGTAATTTAGTGTAAGCTTTAACCGGAACGAAACAGAGACAAAGATACTGAAGAGGATAAAATTCCTATATGATAAAGTGTACATGTATTACAATAGTAAAATGCACTTAAAGTAGGAAGGTGAGAATACTTATTATGTAGAGGGGTTCCTTTCTGGGTGTTAAAAAACTGCTTTATAACTGAGTTACTATCATTACTGATGCATAAATCAACATATATGTAGTACTTTAATGTAGTATCTGGTTGAGAGGACATGACATTACATTTCGTTTAGCTGAGGCTTTTATCCAAGCATTGTAAAAAAATAAAATAAACAGTTGTTTCAACCTGTTGTTGCTCTAATAGGTCGGGACATATATAGGCACAATCTAATACAAATGTTTTGTCACAGAGTCATAGAGGTGTTGATAGCTGTGAGGTTCACAATCCTGAAATGTTCTGGTGCACTGATGGTGGCAGAAGGGTTGTTTAATCATTAAGCTTTTAAGTTGGCTACCTTTGTTTCTAAATCTTGGGGGGAAAAACGTCAGAGTGGATTATTTGATATAGTTTTCTACTCTCCTTTCTTTCTTTCTTTTTGCTCCTTTTCATTGAGTAAATAAAAGTCTTAAAAGCCAGATTTAGGCTGGACAAATAATGTGCATGACACAATGCTAAAAAGCAATCAAGAATGCGTTGAGGTCACTGTGAGGGCGCTGTATCATACCAAGGTGTAATGGTTAATAAAGATTTCACTGCCATAGTATATTTTCGATTGTGCAACTTTTCTACATTAAAGGTTCAGTGTTTGGAAATGTTATGTTGCAGCTGAACACCCCTCACCTCCCCCTGTCCTTCCAAACATGGAAGAGAAACTGTGCTAGCTTCAGTTCACCCCCTCCATGTAAATATTAAGTATTTCAATATAAAGGGCCTTTTCTGGGGTAAAGAAAACTACAATTCATACAATTTAGATGAAACGAACAAGTGAAAACACCATGAGGATTATTCTACATTATATTTCTGCCAATAGATCCCTTTCTCCTAAATCTTACACACTGGATCTTTAAGGTAATGTAGCTTGAGAAGATTGTTTTCACCAAGAAAACGGATCCTACGGATTTGATTAACGTCAGAAGCGTATTTACAGCTGTTCGCGTGGTCGCTACAGGGCTGTGGTGGAAATGTAACAGTAGACGAGCATGTAGCTAAGGTTCGATCGATGCCGGAGCCATGGTCTGTTCAGTGGCGTGTGTGAATCGAACCCCCAGCTGCGGACAGTCCTCCCGGTTGAAATGCTGCACCTCCTGCCATGTTTCTATTCTAGTTGGTTAGCAAGGCGCTGCTCCACTGCGGAGAGTTTTTCACAGCTCGGCCTCGGGATGCGAAAATAAGTCCAGCAACAAACAGCTCTTCGAAAACTTTGAGGAACTAATTCGTTGCAAATGGCTTCAAACGACGTCACGCAAAAGTTTAAAACACTAAAATGATGACACACAAATGAGCCGCGCGAGTTCAGACCGTTACATGAACCGTTCACTGAGGCTAATGATGTAGCTGCGGCCGTTAGCTGAAGCTACATCACACGCGAGTGGACGTGAACGCCTTTTATTTCCGCTCGATCCTTCAAGCTCTTACAGGCTCGTCTGTTCTTTACTCACCCTTCCATAGAAACACCATGCTTCGTGCCATTACACGATCTGAAGATGATATCTCAACTCAGATCCACGCATCGCGTCTGAGGTCAACAGCCAATCAGCAGCCGGTACGCTCGTCACGACGTCAGGACGGAGACGGCCCCATTCATGCGTGGATCACAACATCAGCGCCACGAGTTCACCAAACGATCATTTAATGAGACGCAAGCGACTGTTCACAGGATTATGGTACAATTTATACACAGTAAAACATTTATTATTAAATACAAGAAAAAAGACAATGCATCATTTTACAGTGATCCCATTCATTCGTCAAAAAACTGTACTCCTGACTATGAATGCGTTCATGTTCAAATCAATAAATTCAGGAATTTTCTACACCTCACAAATGCTTACAGTCACATGAGAATGTAATGAGAATGATAAGGATCTGCGATAAAAAAATATTTATTCGTCAGAGGAAGTGTGTTATAGGGGTTTTCCAACAGCACAACTCAAAGACAGTCCGCTCAGGTCTCACGAGGTTTCTGTCTCGTCTCCGACTGCAGAGGTTGTTTCAGTTCAAAAAGTCCTGTTCCTCCTCGGACGACCTTCCCCACCACCAGGCAGGCCGAAGGTGAGACTAGCTGGTCGTGGGACCCTGAGAAAGAAAGGAGAGTCGTAAACAAATTGAGACCATCATGACTGAGCATTCTGGGTATCTGCAGAATTTTTTTAATCAAATTGAATTCTTTTAACACCTAAACAAGCTTTAACCCCCCATTTCAGAACAGATGAATTAATGTTAAGAGCTTTTTTTTTTTTTTAAATCAAATCACAATACTTATGTAGACGTTTCTTTTCGTATTGGGTGAAAAATCCCCATTAAAAATTAGCAAAACAGAACACAGTCATCAGCTAACCAATTTTACTTCGCCTTATTGGCAAAAATATCACTTCCCCAGACTGAGGCAAGCCAGTATGAATGTTGACAATGCTTACTGTATGTCATAAATGTATTCATTTACCAGTCACCATCACGGCTGTTACAGATAAGGGCAGCTAGGGCAGCTCTAGGGCTGTAGGCGAGGACATGTGACATGAAGCTAAGGCCCAGTTCAGACCTGATATTAATATCTGTCCTCCTGTGACAACTTGTGATCGGATCTCACTTCCCTATTATATAAGCAAATTAACTGTCATTTGTGTTCCTGATGATGTGGTGCTTTTGCCCAGTGTGAGTTTACAGATGTGTACAGACCCAGCATAGTAGCCTGTTTGAGGAACTTGTAACTGGTCTCGAAGGTCATCTGCTGCAAAGGGGAGGAGTTGGATCTGATGGCGTGACGGTTTAAGGGCTTATATACACCTTCAAAACACATGTAGTCCGCTACAAGGGACAGATGTCTGGGGTCAACCTCGATTCCTGAAATACAGATACACACCAAATGAAGAGAAATGAAGATACAGAGACGCTCTCTGTATGAACTTGTTGTCTGTATTGGAATTTGTGTCTGTGTGTGTGTGTACCATAAACAGCAAAGACATCTTTGATCTCCTTCTCTATGACCTTCAAAGCAACTTCAATCCCATACGTGTTAGCCATGGCATGAACCTCATTAGAGTACAGCCTGTTGATGTTCAAGATCTGGAAAGAACAAAAATAGTCTCAATGTTGGGATTGTCCTTAAACAATAATCAAAATGTACATTCTTGCAATAGAAAAATAATATTTAATAACCATAAACTCCTTAGCACGACATAAACTGCATTTTGTAGTATCTAAATGTTACTGCAATACAAATTTATAGTATTTCTGCTTTGCAAAACTTGAATTCCCAGATCATGATTAACAAATCTGAATAGACAAAAGTCAAAGGCAGATTCTGCAGAAGGCAAGTGAAATCAGAAGACTTGTAATGACTGCCAACGCAAAATCCAACTATAAATGGTTTTAACATTTGGCGAAACTTCTTAAATGAAATGGTGAATTTCTTCTTCAAAGTGTCCTCAGGTTTTACTAATACTGTCTACGTACGTCACTGTACTTGAACATTTCGTGCATGTTGATTCCTTCTGTGTTGAGAATCATCTCTTTCTCTCCGGTCTTTGTTTTGGCTTCGTTCAGCAGGCAGCGGGTCAGGCCTCTGGTTTCCATGATGACAGCATTATGGGCCAGCGTTGACAGGACTGAGGTCAGGTCAAAGTGCACCTTGCTGACCGGTAAGACCACGTCCAACTAAAAGCAGAGAGGGGGGCGAAGGAATGAGTGACTAAAGCATCATAACATTGTGTAAAATTTGTAAAAAAAGAAAAGAAAAAAAGATGAGACTCAGAGACTGTTCTTTGGACAGATTTCCTGCGCTCCAGCTCTTCCTCAGGTCTGAAACATCTACTCTCAGATTTCTCTTTACATTTTATTTAGCTGATACTTTTGTCCGAAGCGACATACGATCAGGGCATTCAAAAACGATGAGGGGCCATTTTTGGGGCAGGTTAGGCATCTTGCGTAAGGACCAACAAGCTTCTGGTCGGAGGACAACTGCTCTTCCCAGGCAGCCACAGCCGCCCTTCTTTTCTTCTTGTTCAATACCATGCTCTTGACTAAAGATAAAAAAACACCCCAATAAAACAGCAAGCTGTCCAAAGATCTACACTCTGGTCAAATTACCTTCTACTGGTTCCTTAAAGAGCCAATAAAGGACCTTCACAGCCAATGTGCTGTGAGTAAATGAGAACTGACAGACTTGATGAAAGACACTTTACTGTGCTTTCTGAGGAATAGGCATTTTATCTGTCTAAACATGTTATGGTTCAAAACAAATACATATCGCCCTTAACTGATTTATACAAATTACAAATTATTTGTGTGTTCAGATTGTTTTGAGCTATGACAAAGAGAAGAGGATTGAATTTTGGAGCACATTGTTGAAATGAAACATTAAATGTTTCAAAGTATGTACCATGTAACGCACATCGAGATCATGTATGTTGTGAGTTAGTGCCACGCAGATAAAACACAATTGAAAGTAAATGCTCACATGAGCTGTGAGTCAACAGCACTGAAGTCAACTGTGCTGGAAAAAAATCTTCGATAACTAACTTCTAACATCTTTTACTCTGCATCCTCTTTTCAAGTCTGTGGGACTCAGTTTGAAATCCTCTCAAATAAGAACTTAGAAATAGATATATTGTCTTATGAGGACCACTCTCAATTCCAGTTTTCTTTGCTAGAATCAGGATAAGCAAGAGCAAACAGACGGAAGAGAAAGTTTTTCACAGAAGATATGAGTTAAATGAGAGAAATGTGGCTAAAGCTGTAGAAATATTATAATATTAACACTCATATGGTAGCAATCTGCAGACTGTGTGTGGTAGAACTCAATATCAATGCTAAAATTGATGCTTTTCAACTTCAAGTGTTTTTCAAAAGACTCAGGATGACAATAGGGTTCTATGACAAACAACACACCTCACACCAGAGCTCATGCTGGTGGTCGTAGCAGTATCTCTCTATTGCTGGGTTGGACTTCAGAACGGAGTTGACCCTCATCTGACTCACAGCCTCTTCTTCTCTTTCTTCTCCTCCCCCTTTCTTTGCTTGCTTCTTCTTATTTTTCTTCTTCTCCAGTCTGACTCCTTCAAACTCAGGCTGGGACTCCACCTGAGTGTTCTTCTCCTCACTCTCACCCGCCTCCTCTTCCTGATCATCTTTATCTTCGGCATCTTCACCTCCCTCCTCCTCCTCCTCACTCTCATAGTCCACCTGCAAGGGAAAACAAAGATGGGTATTAAATGTGATGATGGAATGTGCACAGGTGCTGGATGTGTCATATCCCTCACTGCAATGGTATAATTAACACCACAGGAACTCCAGAGCAAGATTTATAGACTGCACATTGTCTAAATGTTGGGAGAGGCTTAACGGTGAGGACACTACCAGTTTCAAGTTAAACCAGTTATAGAACATGAAACCAGGACTTAGTGTGTGAAAGGACTGGAGACATAACAAATCACAACTCTGCTAAGAGGGACAATTGTGAAACATGGCTTGCATGAATGCCACCCTGTTTCAGTTACATTGATTAACTGTTGAGATTATTTAAATAAAATGAATTGGCATCTATTTTGATCAATTCACTGTCATTTTTAAGCAAAAATAACATTTGGTGGTTCTAGGTTCTCAAATGTGGACATTTCTATATACATATGTTTTACAATCCACACAACCCATCAAAGAATTTAAAAAATAATCTGACGTTCAGCGCTAATTTCAAATATTATTCCGGTCTTTTAACAATGCAGTGCAAGTCAGAAACATACCATACCAATAACTGAGGCACTCTGTCAGACTGCTAGTGTGTAATCATCTAAATTTTACAAATGTATGTTTTCTTTACCCTAGAATGGCCCTTGATATTGAAATACTTTACATTTACATCAGGAGCAGGACCTCTATATGGAGGCCGCCATGTTTTTACAGTAGCCCAGTCTGGACAAACTAAAAACCTTTTGAGTTTTTATGACAACTGAAGGTGACCACAGGTTCTCTTTTATGTGTCGAAGGGGAGTGTAAGGTTGAGCTGCAACATGCAACTTCACCAGTAGATGTCACTAAATTCTACACACTGAACCTTTAATCACATGACAACGCACAAGTCAATATGAAATATTTTATAGCTCTTCATACCTCTTCTTCCTGTTTGCCTTTTCTCTTGGCGTCTGAAGCATCAGCGTCTCCTTCATTCTCCTGGTCATCAACAATCTCTTTCTCTTCTTCTCCCTCCCCGTCGTCTAACTGAACGATGTCAACATGACAAAAGATACTTAACATTTGGTAAATTTATCAAAAAGCAAAAGACAAGACAAAACATTCAACAATGAAACATGGACAAAGCAAATAAAAAACAGACCCCTGCTGTGCCCGCAGTTCCATCACCGTCGTGGTCTTTGTCTCTAGGAGTGGCTTTCCTCGTCTCCACGGCAATGGAAGCCAGCTTGGCACTGCGCTTCTTAATGGCTTCAAGGAGGAGACGGAAAAACCTGAAGAGTGTAAAGGTGAAAAGATGAGAGTTGGTTATCAGGAATATTTCGTATTGATTTCTCACAC